AGTGCCTCTCAAGCCACAGGTGTACTCCTACGGGTCGTCCGGAGTGCCGCTGGACTCCTCCGCGTACTCCACTCCGCTCACGGACCAAGCAGGCCTCTACACGCCCTCCAGCTTTCACCTGTACCACTCCAACACCACCAAGACAGCCACCTCGTACGACAGCCTGCGCCCGGGCGGCACGTGGTACGCCCCCTCGTCATAGCACCAGTAGGGAGGCCGACCTCGCAGGACTCGTCGTGCAGGCAGCCGTTCGTGCTCGGAGGCCGCCGTGTAGCTGAAGGAAGCAGGTCGAGTCGCGGCGCTTGGGCGTCGAAACGCTCGCGCTCCCGTCGGCAGCAGACCGCGCGTTCATCGCTTGAGGATGCAGTGAAGTTCTGAGTTGTTGCACACTCCGGCCGGCGCCACCGTGACCCTTTGCAACCACACAAAAAAGTATTCTAAAAAAAATCATCTAAAAAAAAAAGAAGAAAAGTGACCTGTGACACTGTCTATTCTCCAAGCAGTATTTTGTTATCAGTATGCCTTGTTGTGCATCATTACCTCCTACAACAAACCACGCCCCTCTGGCACTCGTGTGACCGTGGCCCCTCCCCCTCTGAGGGCGAGGAGCCAAGATGGAGTGTATGTTTTCTACAGCTCTGTTTGTCTGTCTTCCGCGGGCTCCCCTAGATACATATCGCTGCTGTTTCTCCACGTCGTAGCCAGGCTATAAAGGAAAAACTGGTACCAGTGATTCTTTCATTTTGGAGGTGAACGAAGCTCATGGGAATGAGTTAAAACATATCCACACGTCTGAATCTGTCATTGTAGGGCCTGAGGAGTTTTTTTTTTCTTTCTTTTTTCAGTCAACCCCACTTAGAGTAATATATTGTCATATTATAAGAATAATTATAGTAATTTCAAGTTCTGGGCAGTAGGTGCTCTTTCAGATAGGCCGTCTTGACTCCCATTGACTTTAATTCCCTAGGATTTAGGACTAACAAAAGAGTGGAAAAGGTAAATTGTAAATTTACGAATCGAATTGTGCAAAAAAAAGCAACTACAATCATCCAAATGATAGTAACATATGGCTTAGTTTTTTCTTACTGAATGTTCAATTTTATAAATGCATTAGAAAAGAATGACTCATTGACCAGGATGTCTGTTGATGATACTGTAACATAAGTGTGTATTCAGTGTTCTGTAAAAAAAAAGAATGATGATCATTACCAAAAAATCATTATTACAAATATTGGAGCCTTGCTGGTTAGTGTCACCATAACTCAATAGATATTCGGAAACACTGCAGCTCAGCAACACCTATGTAATATGGAAGTTTCAGATTATGGAGTAAAAAAAAAGTATATATATATTGAATTCTGAGTGCAATATTGAGGTTGTCGAAGAAGAAAAAATAACGTTAAAAAAGAGTAAAAAAAAAAAAATTTGTGAATAATCACCATTACCATATCGCAGAAGTAATATAAGTTTTGTGTTCCCATGTATCCAAAAAATTAACACAATTAATTGAAAGGTAATGTAAGATATTGTAAATAATTTAATGGTAAAGACATGTTTTTTTTCTCTTTTGAATTTATGGTGCTTTTGAAAAAAAATAAAAAAAGAAGTTTCTGTGAACCACCTGCTTAGTATGAACTGTGGAGGCTGAGCAGTTTGATCCATTTAGTTTTTTCTTCTCTTTTTTATTGTGTAAATAGCTCTGTCTGATTATTATTTAACTACTTAATGTTTAGCGATTAAGTACCCATCACTGCAGACTGTGGTGAAGCAATGGCTAAGAATTATCAAACTCAAGTTAAACGTATTCTCTCGTAAATTTATATTATATATATCCTGTATAACAGTGGCGAGCAAGACAGTTCACGATAGTTTAGTTGTCGAGGGTAATAGAGTTGTTTATAACGAATTTTTGAACGTATACGAAGAGAAGGGTCAGATATTTATAAATTTCTTTTCCGTCGATTTTTTTTTCCTATCATGTCCTCAAAACATGTAAAATTATTTTCTGTTTAAACTCACAGTATTAAACTACATGTAGCCAAGCACACATTTACATACGTAAAGAAAATAGTATAATTATTTAGAAGTGGATAGTAGATGGATGGCAAAAGAAGACAGGAAGATATGTAATCACTAATTTTGTTCCTTTTGTAAAATTGTATCTTATTGTTACCTATTATTATTATTATTATTATCATTATTATTTTCTTTTTCATTATTACTTTTAGCATTATCATTAATGTTCATTATTATCAATATATATTACCAGAATCACTAGTGTTCTCGTTATTTTTTATCATAATTTCAATATTACTGTATTCAGTGCAATTGATGTTGTTATCATATTATTATAAATCAGTTACCATTGAAATTATCACATTATTGTTGATGTTGTTATTTATCATTATTATTATTATTATTATTATTATTATATTTATTATTAATAATTATGATTTTTATTGTATTATCATTATTATTTTTATTACCATTTATTATTATAACTTTTATTGCTATTATTATGATTACTATTGTCAATATTATTATTATTACTATTTTTATCATTACTATCGTTATATTATTATCATTATTATTATATCATTATATTATCACTGCTCTGCGTGTATATGTGTGAATTGTCTCTCTCGCCCAGCTGGAATTGTCTTCACTCTGATAAACTAACCCCCCTAACGATTATATATTTTTTTCAATTCTTTTAGATATAATTTCCATATCAAGAAAAAACCCTCTCCCTGCTCATTACGTTTTAGTTTAGGGATGTTAGTTCTTATTTATCGATAATGAGTGTTGGTTAGAGTGTATGGGAAGGCGGGAAGTTTGGAAGAAGAGGAACTGAATATATGTGAGAAAAATGTGTCTAAAACGCATTCCCCATAGAGCCGGTGTTCCCATTGTTTACAGCTCTGATTATCACCCATATGAACGTGTGGCGCATTTTTTTTAGACTCTTTATTTCGATATTTGTTTATTGTTTTTTTTTTTTTTTTTTTTGGCTGGACTTTTTATTTGATCTTTATATGTATATTTTGGGGGTGGAGAAACCTTGGTTGTGATACAGTATATTTCTAGATCTATTTCGTGATCAGCCTTATACCGGTGATTTCAGTAATTTTCTGAAGTATTTATTGTTGTTATTTTCAACTTTTGTTTTTTTGTATTGCTTAGAGTCTAGACCCATTGTACACCCATAGTAATTATTTATTTATTTTTATTCTGTTTACTTCTTTATTATTATTATTATAATGTTTATTTTTGATTATATATAATTTTGCGTTTGTATCCTTGATGCCACAGTATATAAATAATGTTAGATTTGTTTTCTTTTTATTGTGAACTTTTTCAAAGCATGGAATAATAATAATGATAACAGTGCTACTAGTTCTCTTTTAATGTGTTTGTTTCTGAATGAAATGCTTTATTTTGTAGATAATATGAATTTGTAAGATTTTTAATTTAAGTTTGAAAAACCAAGACGTAAGTTATGTGCATTGCAAAGGAGTACCAAAACATTCCAAGCATTCCTTCATACCTTAAATTCATGATACTAAAAATAAACATATGTAATTAATCTTGTGATATACGCCCAGGAGGCTTTCTAGTGCGCTATCCAAGTATGTCTGAAGGAGCGAAGAGCGATGGTCAATGCTTGTGGAGAGAGAGAGAGAGAAGAGGAGATGGAGGCAGGAAACGCACGATGGCAGAGAATTCAACAAAAAAACACAAAAGAGAAATGAAAAGATAATCTTCGTATTGTTTTCGAATATATCGCATGGTGACATTGGTCCTGAACTCAAATGCTCCACCAGCGGTCCGCGAGCCACGCCGACCCAGAGGTAGACAGTGAAAGTTCGAAGTGGGCTGATTGTAATTGACAANAGACAGACAAACAGAGAAGAGAGGAGAGAGAGATGAAACACACCCCTCAGCACCTAAGAGCCAATCAATAACCGTAAAAAGGGAAACTATCTCCGACGGACAAAACCAAGCGGAAAAAAACGTCCAGCATACCACCGGGATGTTCCACCTCGAGTGAGTTCCGACGACTTCCTTGACCTCCCTGCCCCTTAAGTGACCTGACATTATCCAAGGGGCTTTGCCAGAGGGAGGTAATACCCGGGAAGAAAAGGAGAAGCTCGATAGATCCCATAAAGTTAATAGCGGATCGTCTGGTCCATATGATGCCATATTCTTTCGGAATTTGTTATTAAGTTTCGGAAATTACTCGAAAGCGGCGAAAAGGAAGCAGTGGTATCGCGGGTAAGAGAAGGATTTAGTGATGATTTATATAGAATATACATTATATATATAATGTTAGTTATTATATATATGTATATATATATATTATATATATATATATATATATATATATATATATATATATATATATATATATATATATATATATACATAACATTAATATATATCATATATATATATATATATATATATATATATATATATATATAATATATATATATATATATATATATATATATATATACATATATATATATACATATATATATATATATATATATATATATATATATATATATATATATATATATATATATATATATACTATATATATATATATATATATATATATATATATATTATAATATATATATATATATATACATATATATATATATATATATATATATATATATATATATATATATATATATATATATATATATATATATATATATATATATATATATATAGTATATATATATATATATATATATATATATATATATATATATATATATATTATATATATTATATATATATATATATATATAATTATATATATTATATATATATATATATATATATATATATATATATATATATATACTATATATATATATATATATATATATATATATATATATATATATATATATATATATATATATATATATATATATATGTATACATACATATACACACACACACACACACACACACTAACGCACTAAAGACAGTTACGTCTTTGGGAATGTTTGACGAGATGAACATATCACATACAAAGTTAAAGTGTGTAATTAGCAAGCGCTCATGAATTTCCTGCGAAATTTATGGGGTTCATTAACACCGTCGCTGATATCATGGGACGAAATTAAGATCATAGACTTTTACAAGACTTTATAGTTCTTCGGAGCCTGAAGGTGAAGGCTGCTAAAGTTACTTCAATATTTGAAAGGTAAAGAAACATAAAAGTGTCCTGAAGTTTGCTGCAAGTTTAGACAATGTTTACTTCTGAAGCCTTCGGCAGCGACCTCTTTTTAACTTTTTTTTTTCTTTCGTCGTGAGAATAATCCAAATTTCGTTTTTTTTAACACATATAATCTCTGATTTCGTTTCCTCCTTCTTCTTCTTGTTATTTTTTTCTATTATTTGAAAAAGTCTTTCTCAAGATACCTACTAGGACACCCCGAGGTAATGAGTTAAATATTTTACGGTATTATAAAGTAGATGGAACGGAGTATACATATACTTAATCTGTTTCATATATCATTCATTTCCCGTCATTTTTTTATTCATAGATTTAATCACGCGAAAACAATAATATATATAATGAATGTAGAAAAGGTATGAATATCTTCACAATATGAGATGTATTTGACCGGTTTCGATTACATCTTCATCAGAAACACATGTATTTCTGATGAAGACTTAATCGAAACCGGACGAATCCAGTCTCATTCATACCTTTTCTACATTTGTCAACATGGATACGGTTCATATATAATGAAGACGCCGTTTGAAACCAACTTGATCAGTACCCATTCAATTCTCTCACTGGGGTAAAAAAAAAAAAAAATGCTTTGGAAAACTACATAAAATCCCCGTTTTTCGAGGTAATCATACAAACACACACACACACACATACACCCACACACACACACACACACACCCACACACACACACACACACATACACACACACACACACACACACACACTCACATAGACCCACACATACGCACATACACACACCCACACTCACATGCACCCACACACATATTCTTAAGTCCATTTCCCCCTTAGTAGGCCCCTGTATTACTTCCATTTCCCTCTCGGCCTTGCTGAAAGGACCCAGACTAATGTATCTGATACGACTAATATCATTATTGTATTTTTAAAAATTTACGGATATGAATGGAACGTCGAGAAATTTTAATGTAAATAGAAATAAAACATGTACAGAATTTCTCTCTCACTCTTGCGGATCGAAATTATTTCTCTCTATATCACAAACAATAATGTTGATACAACGCATCAAAGTGAAAAACGCATAAACATATGCACTGAAAAAGTTGCAGATCATTAAACTTGAATATTGCAATACATTAACTGATGGCACTTTTAGGTATAGCATTTATGAGTATCATTTTTGTTGTTATGAATCAAGTATTATTCCTATAATTTACATTTCTCATATTTGTGTCGGGTTTTTCATCCTTTTACCATATTACCATATAACCTCCCATGTTACCAAGTGATGCAATAGCTATTGTAATTTGGTTTACAGCTTCGACTTTATATATTAGTATATATATCTCGTTCTCTTCGTTTTCATCTATTTATTGAAAGTGGAAGTGAGCAGACGTTACCTTTTTTATTTATCAATTTATTTATTTATCTATTTATCTATTTTGTTTTATTTCTTTACTTTTGTATTTTTCGTTTCCTGATAGACCTCGGGAAAGGTTATTCAATATATCATCTTGTTATGAATACGTCTCCTAACTCTTTTCTAATGCTTGTGTTTTTTCTGCTTGTTATTCTGTGTTTGAGTTATGCGAGTATTTGGTTCACTTAGCCATCTTAGGCCAGCATGTGTGAGTGTGTATGTATCTTTGTCGTGTACGTTTTCTCGTCGTTTTATATCTGCTTTATTACTTCTATTTCGTCATTTATTTTTGCTTTTCTATCCGGCAGTCCCATTCACACTCTCTCTTATTTTTTTCTGTCTGCTTCTCTGTCTATCGGCATTTCTCTCTCTCTGTCTCTTTCTTTCTCTCTTCCTTTCTGTCTGTCTGTCTGTCTCTCTCTCTCTCTTCTGTCTTTCTCTAATTTCTCTCTCTCTCTCTCTCTCTCTCTCTCTCTCTCTCTTCTCTCTCTCTCTCTCTCTCTCTCTCTCTCTCTCTCTCTCTCTCTCTCTCTCTCTCTCGTCTCTCTCTCTCTCTCTCTCTCTCTCTCTCTTTCTCTCTTTCTCTCTCTCTCTCTCTCTTCTCTCTCTCT